AACTATTGTCCTTGTGCGAACCCACTTGGGACCATACTTAGCCACACAATATGCATGGGTTCGAGCCCCCATGTTCATTGGCTCCAACCCAGATGCCTTTAACAACCCCAACTCTAAAACCCCAATGCTAGGTCTCCAAAGCTTCTTTGCCGATGCTCTGAAATCGCTGCAATACTCAGTATGCTCGTCCAGCACGTGATATGCACCGTCCAATGAGATCCTTGCGTTGAACTTACTAGCAAACACTACCTCTTGGGAAGGATCAATCACACTAGGCCCTGGCTTGTCAAGGTTGTACCATCTACTTGCCACCCCTCCACCATCTAATCTCTTATCCACGTTTTTCAGAGGAATCACACACTTTCCTAAACTTACATGGTCAGCTAAAGTCCCTTGCTCTACGCTGATTACTAAGGACTCCTTGAACGGCTCTTGTGCTACAAACATCAAGTCCTCATTCCATAATGGGTTTGGGTTCTTCTTCTTAGAAAAGCTTGTTCTTAAACGCAAGCGCCCCAGATCAACTTGGACGAATAAATCTGAGCTCTCAGGATGAAATCTAAGGAGCAAATCTTGAGCTTGAATCACATTGACTCTGAGATACCATAATGTAGGTAAAATATATACCTTGGAATAAGTATAAGCAACAGTATCAATGCTAATCGAAGTACTATTTGAGAGCCAAGCTTGAGGAAAAAACTCATCTGCTTGAGTGCCCATCCACACAGCCAACATGACATCACCTGATACAAGTAGTGTCCCGTTCTGATCCTCGAGCTTATACCACTGCGGTGCCAATGGACTCTCCGGCGGTACTCGTTTCGGGGCATCAGGCACGAGAAACCGAACCCGACCCACGATTGCATGGGGCGTGACCATTCTGTCTCTTACGACAACCTCGAGATTCAAGTCCTGAATTCTGTCTTTCTCGAAGGCGAAGACTTGGTTCCATACAGGGAATGACGTCCTCTGAAAGAAGCGATCGATGGTTCCTTTGTAGTTTCCAAGTCTGACTTCGACGTAAGGAGCGCATGGAGGCAAGTCTCTGGCCCTGACAACTCTGACGTACAAGAACTGCATTTGTTCGACGAGATCATATCTCCTTGTGAGTATGTCTCTCTCAGTGGGTAGTCCAACACTGATGTTGGGAGAAGTCTCCCTTGGACCAAAGTTTGCCATTTCTAAATCTGCAAAAGGACGTGGTTTGATCAAGAGCACGAAGAGTTTAGTAAGCTAAAACATGATTCTTTGATTTAAGTTTTACTATTCCTGCATATATTGAGATGATGCGTGAAATTGGAAACGCAAATCAGCTATCTCAAGTCTCCAAAATTCTGAAAATAGGAAAGGAACGAAAATTCACCCAATCCCCAGTAATTAGGCACATGACGGGGAAATCTGGCTGCAGATTGCCAGTACAAGTATGAAGTAATGCTTTTTGTATTGATTAGAATCTTACAATGCAATCGTATATCTTAAAAATATTAAGATAGAACAATATAATATTATTATTATGCGTGATGATTTATATTTATTTTTTAAATTTATTATGTACAAATACCTTTTGCAATTGCAAACAATCCAATACCGAAGGAAGAATCCAAATTTCATCTGTGTTGAAACGCGATTATTTTTTCCAACAGTCTTTTTTTTTTTGGTGTAAGAAGTCAATTTTATTAATCACCCAAAAAACAAATTACAATAACTAGTAGCCAAAAGCAAAAAAAAAAACACTAAAAAAAATCTAAAAGTACAGCCTATCACACCATCTGAACCCGAAAAACAAACTTACATATGTTAACCAAAAAAAAAAAACTCACACTACAAAAAACAGAACAAAACCAGAAAAACCAGAAGCAAATAACAAAGCAGACACCTTCAAACAAGTAGCTCCGTTAACCAACACCACACCCGTCAAAAATTCCACCTGGGACAGAAGCATTCAGTGCTGAGTTCCCTACCCTCCTGTAGAATTCATCCGAGCCTTAACTGAGAAATTAATAGGTTAACGAGATTTTTAATAAGAAAAGAGATTCATTTAGCTTGATCGGAACCAATTAAAAATATAATGAAAAAAATTTTGCAGGCCTGCAGGGCCAATGGCAATAGGCAATATAGTTATAAAAAGCAGCATATATGCAAGTGTAATGAAAAGAGGAACAAATTATCTATTTTTTTGCCATCAACGAAATATCTAATAAACTTTATATAAACATAAAAATGCTAATTAATTGAAATTAATCCTAACAAGTTTCTCCCAAAATAGAAAGTCCATAACTTGGCGGAGGGGTTTCATTAAAGCACAGATTACAACAACTTATCATCGCAACAATGGCCTAACAAATAGGTTAATCGAATTACAATCATTACGTGATGATAGCATATTCCAGATTGCGGCCTTAATTAATACTCCTCCGGTCCTTATTATAAGACCCAATTTGACTTTTTATTTGGTCCTAATTATAAGACCCAATCCATTTTCTCTCTTATATTTATGCATTTTTTTCAAAATAATCCTTCTAATAATGATAGTTTTAGCCAATATACTTAAGTAGCAAGGATATTTTAGGAATGACAACACTTATTTATTATAAATAACCAACTTAACTTACTTCCTTAATCTCCTCAAATAAGTCAATTGGGTCTTATAATTAGGACCGGAGGAGTAGTACTATAATATAGCATTTGATGTGATTGTGGTCTAATAATAAACGGATACAATTCAATTAAAAGTTTGACTTTTTTAAAATAAATCCAAACAGACTAATAGTGTATCAGTGGGCAATCTAGGCAACAATCATTTAAATCTAATTTAAGATTGGTGAATAATAAACGCGTGATTATAAAAGGAATATGCCGACATAAATCAATGCGCATCACGTTATAAGGGGGAGCTGGCGGGGCAGGTAGGGCTTTGGGGAAAAAAGACATAAGTTGGGCTCAATTGAACCAGCCCACAATCTGTGAATTTAATGTCAGTCCGAGACCTAATTTTGAACGTGAATTTATCTTTTTAAAACCTCAAACACACAAATATGCAAGGTAATAAAAATCAGATCGGTCATTAAACTGATCCAAGTCGAAGTAGTGAGTCAAGAGACCGGCGTCAACCCTAGAGTCAAATCAATAAGAAATAAAAATAAATAAAAATAATAATTTAAACTTGTATATCACAATGTCCAATAATTAAATATTAGAATAGTAAATTGGATTACTGATAAAATAATCATATACTAGCAATTTTTTTCCAACCTTCTATGCAAATCTTCCAACAAATTGAAATCATAATATCATACTACTTTCGATATTTAATATAAGACTTTATTTGACTTTTATTTTAATTTTAAATATAAAACCTCAGTCCACTTTGTCTTTCATATTTATTTATTTTTTTTCAAAATAGTCTCTCTAATAATGGTAGTTCCAGCCAATAAAATTGATTAGTAAGGATATTTTAAAAAAAACAACACTTATTTATTATAAATAACTAACTCAACTTTTTTTTAATCTACTCAAATTAGTCAACTAACTTTTATATTTAGAATTGAAAATAGTACTACCAAAATTACTAAATGTTCATTCTAGCAAAATATTAAAATAGAACGTGATAACAAAATACTTCTTCCTACAATCCTTCAATCACTAAGTAATAATTATTAACCGCTTAAAAAAATTTTCATCAAAATAATTTAAAAACAAAAAAAGGAAAATACAATTGAGTGAATTCATCAAACTGGTCTGATTAATTGAGTCGCTCTCAGGTTGGTACCGATCATCTCAGGTCAATTTTTTCTGATTCATTTGGGTGGACTGGCCAGGTTACCAATTTCCAGTCTAATCCGATTTTCAACATGGTGGAAATGTATTTTAAATTTGAACCAAATGCGCAGAAAGGGACTACGTCAAAGGGAAAAGGCCGGATTTTTAAAAATTAAACTGACAACGCTTTTGACCCTTGAAAACTTATGAGATTACCATGAACCATGGGAAGCTGGGTTCTTCGATCTCTGGGAACCTTCAGTTTTTGTGTTTTTTTAATCTAAATTCCAGTTTTTGTTTTGTCCATTCGTTGTTAAATACCGCTTCTCCAATGAAATCATTGATCAGCCCCCAATCGGTAACATTACGCATCCACATGTTAAACAACTTTCTCGGTCACAGAAGAGAAGTTTGATTCCTCAAAAGAGAGTGGACAGCTCACAGTTCTGTCTCTTCTTCTCTGTCCCACTCTCTAATTTATTATTGCTTCACTCTCAGCCTCTTGAGCTAAACCAAACACTTCTCTTATTACTCTATCTATACTTCTTTCACTCTGCTTACTCGCTTCATCTCTTATTCTCGTTGACTTTCCCTTTATACTTCTCTCTCTCTCTTTTTTTTGTGCCCCACATAACCTCGATCTCCTCATAGACTTTTCCAAAGGTTCTCCATTGCAGACCAAGTGGTGTTGCTTTCTCCCTTCTCTTGTTTTCCTTTTCCTTGTCTTGTTCTAGGCTTCCTCGCTTTGTCTTGTATCTCTCATTCATTTCTCGGTTTGAATATATCCATTAAGGAAGAGAGGTGAATTAGGGAATAAAGAGAAGAGTCGTAGAAAGTTTCAGTTGAGATTGACAGATGAAATGGTAGCATAGATACTGGATGTCTGGTGGGATTGACGAAAATACTGCGACAAGTCAGAATTTTTATCCAATCTTAAGGCCACCTATTTTGAAAAGAAGCTGGATTTTGGAAATGTATAGCGTTTGCAGTTTCTGGTTGCTAGAATTGAGAGAAAACTTGTGTTCTTGTGAGAAGGGGGTTCTCCGAATGAAACATTTTTGATAAGATTGGGATCGAATTTTACTTTTATTGTGCGTGTTAAAGTTGGATGCTGGTTTTCTCATTACCCATTGCACTTTTTGGCCTTAGTCAATGCTCGATTTACATGATTCATTTTCTCTCTTGTACTTGGGGATGCTCTCTCCAGACTTGCCACACTCACGTAGATTTGGGTCCTTGAGATAACTTAGGGATTTCAGCAGGCCATACTCTATATGCTTTTGTTTTGTTGAGCAAAATAGAGACTGATAAGAGACATTCCAAGGGAGGCTTCCTCAGTTTGTTTGACTGGAACAGAAAATCTCGAAAGAAGCTATTTAGTGACAGTCCAAAAATACCTGGTAATTATCTTCTACCCCTACTTTTAGTTCATTGTTTTATTCAGTGTATATATCAGACCGTAACCTTGCCTATTATGCTTATCTGTTGAATCCTTTTCAACGTTTAAATCATTCTCTACTGCAGTTGTGGGTTTACCTATTTTAAGTATGTTTGCTACATTAACCGTAGAAGAATCAATGCAAGGAAAGGAAAATGCAGAGAGCACGGCAAAGCCAGTTTGTTGTGGCCTTACTTTTTATCTGTGAGATTTATTCTCGTTGTTAATTATTACAACTATTTCAAATGCATGGGGATGGGGAAGTTGCAAGTCCAAGTTACATAACAAATTGTGATTTTAGTGGTGCGCTATCAATTAATAGTGATGAAGGATGTGGTGCTAAAGCCCTTGGACTAATGGCAAGACTGATGGGTCTGGATTTGTTGCCTGCTTCGACAATCCCTAAACTCTCATCCGCTGCATTATATGGCTCTGACTCTCTTGGATCTTGTCATGAGGATGTTCTTGGCTCAATGAATGGCTATCAACATGTAGACTACATAAATATGCTGCGTAAGCCAGAGAAGTCCTTAAGGAATGCCATGGAATCGAGGACACAAAAAGTAGCAAATCGAGCAATCAAGAAATTTCAAACTGAGATGTTGCCTCCAAACTCAGCTAAACCGATTCTCGTTACTCACAATAAGCTCTTGTCCCCTATCAAGAGTCCAGGATTCATCCCCCCAAAGAATACAGCCCATATAATAGAAGCAGCTGCTAAGATAATTGAAGCAAGCCCTTAGCCATATGTGAAGAACAATATGTCATCGGCTGGGCCTTCATCTCTTCCCTTGAGAATTCTTAATTTGAAAGAGAAAATGGAGGTTGCACAAAGCGCATCCATGCCTGAAAAGCCTGTGGATTCGAGCATTGCCAACCCTGTCAAAGGCAAGCGTAGTGGCAGGAGCAATAATTCATATAAGTGCACTCCAGCATTCAAGGATTTGAGAAATTCTGAAAAAAAAAAAAAAAAAAGCTCTCGCCATTTGGGAAGTAAATCATTATCACTTGTAATTGAATCTAAGGCCAATGTTCAGAAAAGAGATACATTGACTTCAAATGGCAATGGAGGATATGTGAAGCATAAAGAACAGAATGAGATGAAATCAAACCAATTTTTCAGGAGACAAAAACTAAAAGCGCAGCAGTTTATGCAGCTGAAAAATGGTACTGGCCGTAATAGAGCTGTGCTTGGGCAGAATAATCAAAAGCAGAATAATATGACCAACAAAGGTGCATCAGCTTCAAGAATTGAATCTAATAACAAGCTAGCTACATGACTTCAGTCATCGAGAAGTAACACTGGAAGAAGGAAGACAACTAATGAGGGTGTTGTAAATGCAAATAATGTATCCAAAAGGTCAAGCAGAAGAGGAACTAATACTCAAAAAGAGTTTTCACAGTCCAATGCTAAGAATGTTGTAGCCCTAAAGAAATTTTGTATGATGCATGTGGGCGAACACATCCCCAAGTGAACACACCAACCCTTACACACCTTTTCATTGCATGGTAGTATATTGTGGTTACTTTAGGTGTAGTTGTAAGAAGCATGTTGTTGCTTACAGTTTGAAGAATTGAATATTAACAAGCTAATGATTTTTGTCGCGTTCAGGTGGAAATCTGACTCGACAACCCTCTCTGCCGCATAAGGCATATATCGTTTGCATTGAATATCTTGTATAGAAATCTTTTGGAGCAAGGAAATATTGGCTTAAAAAATCACTGAAAGAATTGTCGTCCAAAACCAGTTGCTGCAAACGTCTCAATGGCAAAATAAATTGATGATATAAATGAGATTTGTTGTGAGGTGTGGTTGTTAAGGGTCAGTTCTTATAAATAGCTTTTTAATTATAATTTACGAAATACAAAGTAAGTATATGAGAGTAGTCTTATCTTGATTTATATGAAACGTGTCTATAAATAATTTTTAAAGCTATGCTAGACAAGCCTTAAATCATGTAGTCCATTTTTCAGATTTTGTAGTGCACGGTTGGGTGTGTTTAATATCTCACTAAAATAAGACGTAGGTAGGTTATTTTATTTTTTGTTGGCCAAAAAGATAGGTTTTTTTTTTTCTAAAGTTATTCATATGATTGGTGATAGGAATAATATAATACCATTGTTGAGAGGAAGATAGAAAAATAAAGAATAAAAATTTTCAAAACAAATTTATACCTTAATTCAAAATTAAGACGGGGGGAGGTTGGGTCAAGCCCAGCCCACATGAGTTGGGACAAGATTGGGAACTGGATGACATGTTGAAATGATGTTTTGGCCGGAAAAATATGTTGAAATGAAATGCTACTCGTGTCTGTTAAGGAATTCAGCGCTCTTTTCCATAATAATAAATAATTTTTCCTCTTATGCTATTTATAAATTTTAAATTTGAGAAGAGACATGGTTGATTTTACAAATTTTTAATTTTTTTAATATTTAATATATTTTTTAATATTATCCTTACTTATTTATCTCTTATCATATTTTCTCACACATTTTGTTTCATCAATTTTTTTATTTATTAAGAGCATATTTAAAAACAAAAATATATTTTTAACATATTTATTATTTTTAATTAATTTTAAATAATTATTTATTATTCTTTAATTAATTATTTAAAATTTATAATAAGGGAAGTAATAAATAGGAAAAATCATAAAAAAAGACTACTGAAATAGAAAAATTATAAACAGAGACCTATTACAATATTAGTATGAGTTTTGATAACAATAATATGGGTTTTGATAATAATTTTTATAAACTGATCTTTGTATATAATTTTTTTTAAATTTTAATGGTTTTTTTTTTTACGATTTTCCCTAACAAATAAGCTGAAAATGGAAGTAACAAACATTCTTGATAAATTAAAAAAAAAATCCATGTTATAGGGCACGGGGAAGTAGGACGTAAAACGGAAATTGGCAAGGATAATACTCCTCTGATATTTAATATAAGATTTATTTAACTAATTTGATTATATTAAAAAAGTTAGATAAGTTAATTAATTATAAGAAATATGATATGTTTTTTCTAAAATACCATAATCATTTTCATTAATATCCTCCCTTTTTTTTTATTTGATGATGGTTGAAAAAGCATCAATAAGAGTAATTTAAAAAAATTAATAAACATAAGAAATATGTCTTATATTTAAAATTAAAATTAACTTAATAATTAAGTTTTATATTAAAACAGAAGTAATTAATAAAAGCTTCTCATTGTACCAAAAAAAAAACTCGTCTCTGTTTATCGATTATTGATTTGTTGGTTTTTAAACACTGGCTTTGATTTCTGTGCTTTGATTGATTGGTGGTTTGGATGAACCAAACCGCAATTTGGAAAAGTGATTCTGGAGAATAGATTCGGGGAAAATAGATTCTGGCTCCGTTTGGGTGACACCCCAAACCATGGTTTGGGGACCAAACCATGGTTTGGGTGATAAGTCACCCAACACCCACTGGTTTTGGGCAAACTGTGGTTTTGGAAAAAACAGAAATTTTTGCTTTGGAGAAAAAAGGAGAGTGTGAGAGCTTATAGGATATGAATCTTGTTATTTTTTTTATAAACATATTTTTTAAAATATTAATATTTATATTTAAAAATATATATACATATTAATTATTTATTAATTATATATCTTATGTATTATTAATTATGTTAATAAAAAAATATATTATTAACAATTTTATTCCTTCAAATTAAAATATATCATAAAATCTATTTTTTCTGTAATATCATATTAACTTAGTCTTTTTTTAGTAATTTGTATATATAAAAAGTGCTTCTGATAACAACTATCCAAACACTCTCACTTCTCAATTACTAAATAGATTTTGTAAAAAAGTGATTCTGAGAAGTGAGAGTGTTTGGATAGTTGTTATCAGAAGCACTTTTTATATATACAAATTACTAAAAAAAGACATAAGTTAATATGATAATTACATAAAAAATAGATTTTATGATATATTTTAATTTGAAGGAATAAAATTGTTAATAATATGTTTTTTACCAACATAATAATATATATATAAGATAAATAATTAATAAATAATTAATGTGTATATAATTATAAAATATAAGATTAAATATATTTATAAAAAAATATGTTTATAAAAAAATAACAAGATACATATCATATAGGCCCTCACACTCTCCCTTTTTTCTCTAAAAGCAAAAAAATTTTGCTTTTCCAAAACCATAGTTTTGGAGTCAAAACCATGGTTTTGATTTTTGGAGGGGATGTTTGGGTGGTTTATTCCCAAACCATGGTTTGGGATGTAACCCAAACACACCCTTGACCTAAAAGAGAGAACACTGGCTTTTGCGCGCATGGCACCAGTTAACCCCGCAGGAGTGCGAGGTTGATTATTCAGCATCGTTTCACTTTACACAGCCGTTCTCTTGTTAATTAAATCTTTCGGTTCTATCTAGGGTTTGTCTATCGAATTGTTGCAGCGGTGCCGGTGATCTGTCTATTCGTTAATTGCTTCAATCAATTGATTTCCCGTTCCATCAGCCAGGGCAAGATTTTCGAGTCTCGATGGCTCACAACAGTAACAATGTAAGCTCTAATTTTCCTTTGGAGGAGAAAATTGTTTCTCACAACTTTTGCTTTGGAACGCTCATCGGATTTGTAAAATTTTCAATTCGTGGATTCTCTTCATAGGCCGCCGGAGTCGACAACACGTTCAGAAGAAAATTTGATCGAGAGGAGTATTTGGAACGAGCTCGGGAGCGTGAGAGACAGGTGAGTTATTACATTTTCGTTTCTATGTCAATGCCTGCTGACATTTTGCTTGTGGATTTTGAATAGTTTCGCTTAGTTAATCGTTTCATTGTGAACAGGAAGAGGAGGCTCGATCTAGACCTAAAAGTAAGTCATTTAGTTTCTGATTTCGCTTGCATTTGCTTTCGTTAGCATTTTGCACCTGAACTTTAGGGCTTTTTTGGTCGTTCTTGATTGACATGAGTACGTTATAGAGTTGGAGCCACGTTTACAACATCATCGTATTTATGCAGGCAAAGGTCCCCCAGTGCAGCGGAAACCCTTGAAACATAGAGATTATGAAGTGGACCTTGAATCCCGCTTGGGGAAGACTCAGGTAACAACTTTGGATAGGATTCTAGTTCTAAATGTATATGCTTTCGCAAAGCTAGGATTTCCGGCGTTGTATTGTGGCTTAGCTTCACACCTGCGACCAGATTTTATGGTTAGTTCCAGTAAGATAACATTTTTGCCTAATTTGCTCTCTCTTGGCTGCATGGTTTGCACAGACATTACGGGAGCTTCACATTCCTTCTCTTTGATCCTTTAACTTTCGTTGGCTTTCTTCGATCATGTGAAATATCTATAGTCTTTAGAACACGACCCCCCGGGGGGGGGGGGGAGAGGAAAAAACTTAATTTAGAAATGCCTGAGCGTTGTATTTTTTCATTTTTATCTTTGAATGAACTTTTTGATTATTCAGTTCTACTAAAAAAATGAATATAAACCTTGTTGCAGGTTGTTACTCCAGTTGCGCCTCTAAGCCAGCAGGTACTTACATACCATGTTTGTCGACAGTTATTCCTAAATATCATAGCTGCCTGTTAAGTGAACAATTTCTTTGCCATTGTTGCTTTTCCCCACTATGTGATGCATCAAAATTTAGAGTAAAAATATCCGTCACTGAGCTTGCACTTTCCCTTGAAACACAAAATTCTGCTATCTTTTAAGATTTGAGAATTGATACAAGTAATGCTAGGGTTCAAGTAAGGCAAATTATGTGGATGATGATATATGTGAAGAATGGCGAGTGAGAATGGCTTGCTGGCTACTATTTTTCTGGGCATTGACAGTTAGTTTGTTTCTTGTATATATGCACAAAGAACAAGTAACTTAACTTGTACACTTGCATGTTCCAATCTTTGCTACTTGTGTCGTTGCTTATTATCTGGTACTCTGTATTCTGGTGTAACTTGTTTGACATTTCATTGCGGTTGTTCTCTGGATTATTTGCCTCTGTTGCAGGCTGGATACTACTGCCCGGTTTGTGAGTGTGTGGTAAAGGATTCTGCAAATTACTTGGATCATATTAATGGAAAGAAACGTATGTGGTCTTCTTAACATGCCTGCCTTGATTTAACATGTTAGTACTTGATTGAACTGTCTTCACCATTCTGATGATTATTATTTCTTTGTCCCTTAAGATCAAAGAGCTCTGGGAATGTCTATGCGAGTAGAGCGTGCTTCTCTTTCACAGGTATAGTGCAAGTTTGATTTTGCATTGGGGGGGTGTGTGAGAGAGAGAGAGCATGTCTGCGGATCACTTTTTGTTAGTTGTTTCTGTACATGTGTTGGACAGCGGTGGTGAATTTTCTGATGAAACAGGTTCAGGAACGATTTGAAGTTCTTAAAAAGCGCAAAGCACTTGGAAGCTTCACAGAGCAAGGTAAAGGCTTTGGAAAGGAGGCTATTTTTTTTTTTTTTTTGGTTTGCTTTCCTTGGAAAAAATCAGTACTACCTAAGCAATTTTCTCTGTTTAGTTGTGGACAATTCCTTTTAATAAATATTTGTTTGATGATTACTATACAGATCTGGATGACCGGATCTTAAAACAGCAACAAGAAGAAGAAGAAAGAAAGAGACAGCGACGGGAAAGGAAGAAAGAGAAGAAGGTCAGCAGTTTAGTGCTTCTTATTGAATCTCCACGCATGGGATGGGTTGAAAGAAACATCCCGCCCTACCCCCACCTTAATACTGAAATGTTCATATCTGCCCAAAGAACCCTGGCAGTCCCAAGGGTTCCTTCTATCATGTTATCTTAATTAGTCATTACTGCTTTCCCCCCCATTTTCCCTTTTTTTTTTTTTTCAAACAACGTATTTAATTATGTTTTGATTATGGGCTCAGAAAGAGAAGGAAGTTGAGGAAGCACCAGAAACAGATCCTGATGTTGCAGCTATGATGGGGTTCGGTGGCTTTCGGTCATCCAAGAAATGATGCCATGCCATATACTTCATTACGGAATCTTAACAATCATTTTGTAATGTTAAGCTAGATTTGGCATCTGTTGCCCACTCCAAGCATATATGGTGAAAGGAAAACGATGATGCATCTAGCAGCAGAAGAGGTGGATGGGGCTTGATGGATTCAATCTATAAATCATGCAATTCGTTTAGGTTATTTTATTGGCTTTGTTGATCTATGGTATATAAAGTGATCCGTGCCTTTTCACCTGCTCTGTTATTTCGCTAATTTGTTTCTTTTTAGACGCCCTTTCTCAATGGTCCATCCGGCGGGTGGACAGAAAATTTGGGAGGAGGTAAAAGAGTAAACTTTATGCATGGTTGTAGGCCCAACTGCCCAGGCTTACTGATTTAAGTATTCTCGTGCCCCGGGGTGAAAGGCTGCTTGGGATATGCTAATGCTTGCGCACTGATACATCCTGATGTCATTTCTCGGGCCATCTGCGTTGATCTTTGAATCCCTTGTGCATGGAATACTGGGCTCTGTTTGAGAAAATGAACTTGAGGGAAGTGGGAGTCTCGTGTCACCTAAAAATTGTTACTTCGAGAGATTGAATTTCGTGTTAGGGGCTGTTTGACTTCTCCTGAAAGTATCTTTGAAAAGTATTTTCAAGCAGAGAGATAAATTTCTTTTTTTTACATGTTTATTCCGTAGTAAAATTATGATTTTTTTTAATATAAACACTTTCTACATACAAGATCTCGAATTATTTTATTTTTATGTTTATTATTTTTTTAAGTCAATTTATCTAACTTATAAATTGATAAATAATTTAATGTTATATGATAAGGATTTTAAAAATTATGTTGCATGTTATTATTAATTGATTTATTCAGTCTTTTTAACTTATTCAGATCAGTGATGTCTTTTGGGGGAAGATTCAAGTCAGTTATGTAATTGTTATATCAAGAATTAAATGCAGTACTTCATTTGTATCCATTTATAAGAGACAATTAATTAAATTCCGTTGTATAATAAACTGTGTAGTTGTTTATAATTCATGGAATTTGTCAGGTTGTCGGGAAAGGCAGTAGCATGATGTAGATTTTTTTAATAGAAGTTTTTCCTCCAAATTTTACCATATGAAGTACATTAGTACAAAAGCAATTAAGGTTACGAGGAACCTATCAATCAGACCGCAAAGAGATCAAACGACTACTTCTTTCTTAATGCAAGTCATTGTTTGGCATTAAAGCAAATTAATTGCTGCTGCCACCAAGACGAAGAAGAGATGGGATCTAATCCAAATAGTTAAATTGCAGGCAGTGCTTATTTCTCCACCAATGTGATCTCCCAAGTTGAAAATCCCTGCACAAGCATATTATTCTCTAACTGAGGACAGCGAATATAAAATACAGAAGGGAAAGCAACCGGCGGCAAAAATCATAGCGGAAACAGTAGTATTTTGACCTCTTTCTTTGGCAAAGTTGCAACCAGCAATCAGTGCATATCTTATTTGCTGCACACTGGCTTTATTGTAGAATAGGAAATCGGATAGCATGTTATCTATGCAATTAAGCACAAGCTGTGTTTCTGCAAGGCATGGGCCACTGCAGAAAAAATCAGTCGCCTCAGGTGGTACGTTAATATTCCCAGATGGATTTAATCTATACAGCTGATCACATGCCACATAGATCTGCAAATTACCCGTGGCCAACCCAAAGAGAAAGCGTGAACACATCAGAGAAGAAACATTATTAATGGGCAAAAAAGAATGACCAGACAAGATTTCAAGAGCAGAAGGTTAACATGAAGCCCATGCAACCAGAGAAAGGAATATATGGGACACCGACTCACGAGGTTATTATCAAAGCAAGATAAAGCTTTTGCTAAGCTCTGTTCCTGAAATTGATCCTGTGCAGCCCCTGCTGAGGGCGAACGGTGAAATACACAAATATTACATGAAAACGTAGACAAAAGATGGATTTCAAATGTAAAGAATGACAAGTGATGGCTAACCTGAGTAGAAGCATAAAATTACTATAAAGATTAAGGAAGCCATGAATAAACTCTTCTTTGGCAGGAATAAATGTCCCATGATTGTGAAGGGTGGGAAGAGAAATATACATAGGAAGAATAAGGAAGAGTGCATCTTATTATGTCAAGGTATGGGGTGCCTCATGGTTCGACTTTTCCGAGGAAGAGGGGAGGGAGAGTCGGAGAGATGAGGGAGGCAAAATGGCAAAACTACAAAAGGAGGTGATGAAGTAGGTCAACCCCCGTAGAAGGGGAGAATGAAGGAGAGGTTTGTAGTTAGCAAAGATGGGACTTCGGAGGCTAATGGCAACGAAATGAGCGATGGTCGATGGAAATCTCAGGCAAAGTGTGACGCAATGCGTTGGTCGCCAAACCTGCGTCGGTCAACAAAGAAAGCAAGCAAAATTAAAAGCGGGCATCGTGGAGATGCCGGGTATCGATCCCGGCACCTCTCGCATGCTAAGCGAGCGCTCTACCATCTGAGCTACATCGTCGACCGTTTGAAGTTTTCTTCAATCTGCAACATCCTACAGATAAAGTACTATTATTACTATTTAATAGCAGAATGAGTACATAATTTGCTTAAAATTTTGAGAGTACTTCTCCGCATAAGGTTCCCGCAACGACTAACATCTCCGTCAGGGAGGTGCCTCTGAAACTGGACATCTTCCCCCAAGTGCTTGTGAATTCTTTTCTTATGAAAAAGGCCCTTGTCAACTCCCAATACAGTATTTGGGCCTGAAACGCCGGGCTTGCTTGCACAGTGGATTCGTAATCCCTTCCCTCAATACGGTGCGTTTTGGTTCGCCACGCTCGGAGTTCGAGGTCGCAGCTGTAAATGTCTTCCCAGTTCTCTCCCCCTTGCTGGAACGAGACCTCGTATCGAGTCTGTCGACAACACGTTCTTTGATTCTTCCCCCCTATTTCAAGTATGTCAACTGGCGGCGATTATTTGATCCGCTGAACGATATAGCAGCGTGATAGGTTATTTGCTTTTTAGGATTCGGGTTAATCGGTAGAGCCATGGATTTCCAGAAGAGGAGGGTTCAGTTACTGCTCTTCGTCGCTGGCATCATTGTTCTTAGCATCACAGGTACTCTTGAATCATTCTGTATTTCTATATCCATGTTTCGGATGTTCTAATTATTAGTGTTGATTACTTTCCCTTTTGAGTATTTTGGCATTAACATTACCCAAATATTAGCATGAGTGAGAATCACAAACTCCACTCACAGGTTTTGAACCTTACCAATTCTGCTGCACGTACTCTAGGATGAATTTATATCTCAACATTTCTGTTGCTTGCGTCGGTCTTGACTGAACAGTATCATTTTCTCCTGCGCCGTTTATATCTTGGTTCCCTGTTCACGATTAAAGTCGCACAACTCCTGCACCGTTTTCTCCATTTACAAAATTAATTTTTTATAGCGTTCACAAATTTTCAACATGGATCTGCTGAATGTTGTTTGCGCCTGTGTAGGATCGAACGATTTGGAATTTGGAGTGCTAACCATTGTTTGTTGGTATTCATAGTATCATACTATTATATGCTTTATGCTCAAGCCACCATACTGTATTTGGTTTGTTGCGTCGGACAGGACAGTTGCAGTTCACTTTCGATCATTCTTTTTGCCGTCCTTAACAGTTCTGCACTTTCTTTTTCTGAATTCTCGCTCAGTTTCAATGTGGAACTCTAATTTGGAGGTCTAAATCAATTTCCCACTGGGGTGAAGGATAGGGCTTACAGGTGGCAGAGCAGCAATGCCTGGTTATATTGTATCCCAAACTATAATTGGGCGATTTAGAAAAATATATTTGTTTTCTAGCATGAATTGTAGGAATGACTTCAACGTCTCATAATTTTCCTTGTTAAGTGATCATTTTCAGAACAGCTTCTGGTTCTTCCCGATAAGCTTCAGCGCATCAGCTTACTCTCTTTTAACCTTTTCCGTTTTTGGTATTTTTGTTTTGCTTGCTGAAGACTTCCTTTTGCATTGTTGTTATTTTCAGCTGAAAAATGCAGGCTGCTGGTTGGGGAGGAGGCGGCATCCCAAAGCGGGAAGTTTACATTCTTAAACTGCTTTGATATGGGCTCAGGAACTTTAGCATGTGTTGTCAAGGAAGGAGTGAAGCTTTATTTTTACAACATTAGAGCTGCTCACGTTGAAAGAGCAAGGAATCATGCAATCGAGTCTGCTCTTGTCGATGCTGTGGCACAAGGAATGTCAGCAAAGGATTCAGCTAAACATGCTCAGAAAGAAGGTGCCAAGGCTGCAAAATTGGCTTCACGCCAGGCCAAGCGAATTATAGGCCCCGTCATCTCTTCCGGATGGGACTTCTTTGAAGCTATGTACTATGGTGGAACTATCACGGAGGGCTTCCTCAGGGGCACTGGTACCTTGTTCGGTGCTTATGCTGGAGGTTTTCTGGGGGAGGAAAGGCTTGGAAGATTTGGCTATCTCGTCGGAAGTCACATGGGCAGTTGGTTTGGAGGCAGAATAGGACTAATGTTATATGATGTGGTTAATGGAGTGCACTTCCTGTTGAATTCTGTTCAAATGGCTGGCAGTGAAGTTGAAGGTACTTTGGATCATGGAAGTTCTGAAGCACCCAAGAGTTCCTATTTTGAGGAAGCCCCTCTTTATGACAGGTCCGAAGGTTCTGATGAACCCAGTGTTTCTGAATCCTATGCCGCCGAAGAAGCCAATGCCTATGAATCTCCTGCCTATCAGAGCTCGGAAAAATATGAAAATTCCGATTTGTGATGAAATTTTTTTAGCTGATGCGTGCAAGGCATCAACTGCTCGAGTCATAATTGGATGCCTGATGTGTATGTTCGTTCCTTTGGTGTATTTACTTCCACCATTGGGCAACTCCCAAAGTACTGTAAAATATACCCCATGATTAATTTAGAAAAGATTATAATTATAGTCTTTCTTGATTCTAGTTTCTTTACTCCAACTAACGAGGATTCCATAAAAATTAAATAGTGATCTTTATAACTCATGAAAAGAGTGACTTTGTTAGGGATGCCGTGTAGGAAAATTGCCTATAGGTTTCAGGTGAGAAATTATATATGGAAAAATTTAAAAAAAAAAAAAGAATTATATTTACAAGTTAAAGTGTTAAACTTGCGCTTACAAAAAAAGTAGAAGTTTTAAACTTGCATATTTGGGAGTCATATTCATGCCATTCATGATTGAATTGTACTATTTACAATTCTAACTTTTTTAAAAAATATTTTTTTTTTGTGGGAATTTCTTCATATAAATTTTCATTTAAAGGTAAAACTGTATTTTTCTAATTATAAAATTAAATAAGATTATGGATATGGGGGTATAGGAGCTTGGCGTTACTGTTCATTAACCTGTATATGATCTTTTCTAAATGACGTGCCTTGCCTGTTAAAAATTTTTTGTATATATTTCCTTATGAAGATGCGAATTCTCACTCTTACTGGGAGTTATTCTCGCTAAAAAAAAAGTGTGGCAAAATTAATGGGAAAAGGAAATCTTGGTGTGGCGAGATCGTTTGCTGCTGTTATTCCTTTTGACCCCCTTGGTTTGGATTTATCCATTGGTAACCCCACAAGGCCACAAGCGACTATGAGGTCAAGCAGCCTCTATAGTCTATGACTTTCCTGTGGCTGTGGAAGCGAGGGAGGCGTCGAAGACGAGGGGGCCCACTTACTTGGGAACCACCTGAGAAGATTAGATGCTCGTCCTGTAGTAATGAGGGCCCATTTCGTTGTTGAAATCCACAGCAATTGAAAGGGAATCAACTCTTCATTCTACTAGTAGGAGTTGGGTCTAAAAGAAGGAGTTGATCTCTTACAACGTGTCCCTGCTAGGAGATGTACCTATATTTAGTACCTGATAGTGTTTCAAATAGGATTACTTCGAATAGGATGATACCTATGTTTTAACCAAAAAAAAAAAAACTCTTCATTCTAGCCCTCTGTACATATAATAGGGATTTTGCAGCTGCAAACAACGGGAAGCCCCAATCACCGATGCTTCCATGGAGGTAGCTGAAGAAACGATGGCGGCATGGCCTATGCTGTTCGGTGGCTCCGCCTGGATGACCAATAAGATCAGAGAATACATTTATTTTCGTGTAGTTTTTATGGGCTTGAGGTCTCCTTTTTCATCCAACAAGAAACGAAGGACGGTGACTGTTAAAGGGTTTTTTCGGGTCATGAAATTTGTCTTAATATTGATAAATTTTTCATTACCACATAAAAGATGAATTAGAATTATACCGAATCTTCTTTATGTTGAAGCTTGAATTATATTGAATCTTCTTGTTCAGTACTTTTTTCAACTTAATATAAAACACAATTAACTAATTTGAATAGATTAAAGATATTAATTAAATTAGTTAATATAATATGTTTCTTATAGTGTACTTTAATTATCTTTTTAAATTTCTTTCCTCCTTTTATATTTAATTATTATTGAGGGAATATTAATAAGTTTAATTTGGAATCAAAATTGATAAACACGTGAAATAGTTCTCATATATAGAATAAACATCAATTCCTAAATTGGTTCCTATATTAAGAATCCAACAAGTAAGCATTCACAAGTAAAATTTTTTTAGGGGAATGTCATTAGAGTTTCTTTTTTTTTTTTTGGCCAGAAGAGTCTACTTAATTTATAATTAATACGTTGTTTGTGTCGAAAAAAAAGAAGGAGCCACTAGCCACGTCGCCCCCTCAATAATGCAATTTCTCTTAATAAAAAAGGTGCATCCGTGCATGATCAGCCTTTATTTTATTTTTCCTCCTTTAAACAAAATATCAGGACAACCGGATAGGATATATTGTAAATTGTAAAGTCAATAAAATGAGCAAAAAAAATCACAGCCTCACGATTGGCCTGGTGTTTCTTGCACGAGAATGAAAAAGAATATACAAGCGTAGTCAATGACTTTTTTCCATGAGAATCATCATAACCTCATACAACACATTTAAGAAAAATAGTGTATATGTTAGCCATGTGGAATGCGATTATTGGATTATGCAATTAATATTCAATTCAAATACGAATAACCCCTCGGGATAAGAAATTTTTTTTTCCATAACTTGGACAAGGTTGGCCAGGGAAAAGGACCACACGGTCCCTCGGCTTACAGGTGAATTGAAATTCAAATTGTTTTAAAGAGAATAATTAGCATATTATTTAATTTTAATATAATAATATACTAATATAAGGTCATGTCAATAAAAAATGGTTAATAAAAAAAAGAAAACATTCTATCTTGAATCGTAACCAAGATATAATATGT